CGATGCGAGGACACGCCGCAGTCTGAGCCATCTGCGGTTCATGTCAGTGCGACTCCCAGCTACGGTAGATGGAAACAGGCCCTGCCCGGCCGTTGATTCTGCTGCGGAGGTTACGGAATGCTGACGAACATTCCAACAGGTGGTGCTGTTTGTGGGGAGGGGATCCACCAGAAGCAGAAGACGGTATCCGTACCAACCTGTCAGTCTGTGGGAATGTTGCGGATGTGGGAGCAGCTTGTCTGAAAAGTTTTGTGCTTTGAGTTTTATAGATACCCGTATGAGTGTGCTCGCACACACACACATGGGAGAGGGGAGGGGCTGTGGCTCAGTGGCAGAGCCTCCGTTCGGCATGCAGAAGGCCCCAGGTTCAATCCCCGGCATCTCCAGTTAGGACCAGGCAGTAGGTGATGTGAAAGAAACTCTGGAAATTCATAAACACAGTGTCAACAGGAAAGAAGAGAGTTTAAAAATAAATAGGGCATGGGGAACTCCTACAAAATAAAGACTCAGCTCTACCCCATCTCAGGTGGAGATCTTTCCCATCCCCTCCTGCCTGGTCCTGTTAACTGGAGATGCCGGGGACTGAACCTGGGACCTTCTGCATGCCAGGCAGAAGTTCTTCCACTGAGCCACGGCCTCTCTTTACAGCTCTCCAGGGTCTCAGGCTGAGGTCTTTCCCATCACCTCCTGCCTGGTCCTTTTAACTGGAGATGCAGGGGATTGAACCTGGGACCTTCTGCATGCCAGGCAGAGGCTCTTCCACTGAGCCACAGCCCCTCTTTACAGCTCTCCAGGGTCTCAGGCTGAGGTCTTTCCCATCACCTCCTGCCTGGTCCTTTTAACTGGAGGTGCTGGGGATTGAACCTGGGACCTTCTGCATGCCAGGCAGAGGCTCTTCCACTGAACCACAGCCCCTCTTTACAGCTCTCCAGGGTCTCAGGCTGAGGTCTTTCCCACCACCTCCTGCCTGGTCCTTTTAACTGGAGGTGCCAGGGATTGAACCTGGGACCTTCTGCATGCCAAGCAGAGGCTCTTCCACTGAGGCACAGACCCTCCCCCCCTAAGTCCCGGCTTTCCCCCCCTCCTTATCCACCCCTGCATGTCCAAACGCTAGGCCAGGCTTTCTGCTTTTGTCTCCTTTTCCCCTGAGTCTCGAGGGCCAACGGCTAATGCTCTGCCCCTGCTCTCAGACTGCCTGCCCGCCGATCCCCTGCCGGCCCAGTCCGACTCGTGGCTGCAGCTCGTGGACAAGCTGAACATCAAGGCATTTGTCAACCTGACCCTGTCCGACTCCATCCGGCACGGCACGCAGCAGCTCCTCTTCATCTCGGGCTTGGGTGAGTGGTCTTCCGGTCTGGGCCGTAGACTTTGGGGAGTGGGTGGGGGGCAAGCAATGCTCCCTCTAAGCTGTGGAGTCTTGGGAGCAAAAATTCTACTCTGTGAGCTACTGGCATTAAAGTGAGCGAGCCATTTGGCTGCTGCCTCAATTAGTCCGCTCCGGAGCCGTCCTTCCTGAGCTCAGACAAAAATGTGTGAGCCGGAGGCTTACAAAACTGTGAGCTGGCTCACACGAACTCAGCTTAGAGGGAACACTGGGGCCAAGGCATGTGCACCCCATTGGCTTTCTTCTAGTCGCAGGGGTGCAAACCCTTGGTCAGCTCTAAGCTCTCTCTAAGCTGTGGAGTCTTGTGAGCAAATACTCTACTTTGTGGGCTACTGGCATTGACGGTGTGAGCGAGCGATCTGTCTGCTGCTTCAGTTAGTTTGCTCTGGAGCCCTCCTTCCTGAGCGGAGACAAAAATGTGTGAGATGGAGGCTAAAAAACAGTGAGCTAGCGCACACAAACTCAGCTTGGAGGGAACACGGATCCTGTCCCGATCTTCCTTGGAGAAGAGAAGACCCGCACCTGAGTGCAGACTATCCCAGATTTCCTCCCTAGCCCCTCCAGTTTCAAAAAAGGGGTCTTGCCAAGCAAAACTTTTATTGGGTTAAATGTTAAAGGCAATATTAATTTGCCTTGGGAAGCACAGGCGCTTTTTACGCACTGTCCCTGATTCTCCACGTTCCCCAGTTAAGGGGAAAATGCTGCTCAAACAAATTACAAAGATGATCTGACTCCAGTGGTAATGAGAGAAAGAAATTTTACTTACTGAGCCGCCTCGGCGGGAGGGCGGGGTAAAAGTCTAATAAATAAATAAATAAATAAATACTAAAATGGAAGCACATCTTGCGTGACATTTTATTGATTGATTGATTTGATTTGATTTTTCCCCGCCAAGGCAGGCTCAGGGTGGCTTACTTAAGAAACAGTAGATAAAACAACAGTATAAACAGAGGGGTCGCTTCGTAGAAAAAGAGATGCAGGAGCTCATTAGCATAACTTATTTGCATATGCCACACACACCTGACATCACCGGAAGTGTGTCAGAAGGCAACGCCCACTGCTCAGGCTCCACTGGTCTGTTTTGGGTTGCTAGCTATTGGTTTGGGGGGGAACGTGCAGATCTGTCCTCGCAGAGAAGGGAGAGCTTGTGCCTGAATAAAACTTGGTCTCACAAAGTAGAATTTTTGCTCACGAGACTCCACAGCTTAGAGGGAGCATTGCTCCTGAGGGAGACACATTGGTCTCCCTCTATTGGGCGAAGACTTATTTGTTTTCCTTGGCACAACCCCGTAACTGTTACTGGCCCTCATCCCTCATTCTGGTGTTATCGTTTGTATGGGGTTTTTTTGAATTATTTCATACGTACTTTTGTTTTAAACACCGTTTTAACGTTGGAACGTTTTGACGTTCGCCGCCTTCGAAGGAACTCTGCTTGGGTAGAAAGATGGGGTAAATACACGAAACCATAAACAGATGCGATATCACAGTATACAATATGCAGAAAGCAAGCAAGCACTGTACAAATAACGCAGACCACAAGTGCTCAAAAAGTCATGCAAAAAGAGTAAATGTATATGACAAGAATAACAAAGGACCACTTGTATCAGTAAAACCAAATTACATCATATAGTGTACAGGTCCGTGAATAGTGCAAGTCCAGAAATGGTACACGGACAAGGTCGAAGACTCCGGATTGTGATCTTCGTTTCGATAGCTCTTCTTCAAGAAGTTCATACTACTTCATAGTAGAGCCAGTTTGGTGCAGTGGTTAAGTGTGTGGACTCTAACCTGGGAGAACCGGGTTTGATTCCCCATGCCTCCACTTGCACCTGCTGATGTGACCTTGGGTCAGTCACAAGCTCTGGAACAGCTGTCCTTGAAAAAGAGCAGTTTGTGTCAGAGTTCTCTCAGCCCCACCCACCTCCCAGGGTGTCTGTTGTGGGGAGGGGAAGGGAAAGGAGTTTGTAAGCCGCTCTGAGACTCCAAGTGAAGGGTGGGGTATAAATCCAATCTCTTCCTCTTCTTCTCTTCTCTCATAAAGTACTCATAATGTACAGAAAACTTTATAATGGTGTATGTAGGAGAAAAAAATCCTTAGCACAGCACTCACAGTGTATAAAAGCCTTCAAACCAGTATTACAGGAAAAAACTCAATCCTATTGTAATCATTCAAAGCCGGGCACCCGATCACCAATAGAACAAACTCTCCCGACTATTTTACTGATACATGTGGTCCTTTGTTATTCTTGTCATATAAATTTACTCTTTTTGCATGACTTTTTGAGCACTTGTGGTCTGCGTTATTTGTACAGTGCTTTCTTTCTTTCTGTAAACACAATAAAGAAATAAAAATATTTGGTAGATCGGTGGGTATGTCTCGGTATAAGGCAGCTCCACGTGTTCGTACCTGACTATTAGGCCCGGGGTGGGGTAGGGGACTATATATCAGTGGTAGAGTGTTTGCATCCAGTTAAAAGGATCGCGTAGCAAAGGATGTGAAAGCCCCTCAACCCAAGACCCTGGAAAGATGCTGCCGGTCAGAGCAGACAATGCTAATTTAGATAGTCTGACTCATGGGGCAGCTTTCATGTGTCTTTATATGACCTTCTTTTGGAACTCCAGGTAGCGGGGTTGCCTTGCCTGGCTAGAGTGAGGTGTCAGACTTAAAACATTTCTTTCCACCCAGGCTTTTAATGGAACTTATTTGTACTGCTGCGGTTCTTAGATTGTCTTTTCATCTTATTGTGTGTGTGTGCGTGTGTTTATTTATTATCTGTTGAAACCGTTTCTGTGCTGCCTCTCCATCCACGTAGGGTCCCCCCGGCAGTGAACATCAAAGCATTAGAGCATTTAAAACATTATAACAGCATTTAAAATGTATATGTGCAATCCTTAAGAATGCAATAAAAACATAACGGATGTGCAGGCAACACCACCAGGGAACGGGGACGATAAGAGTTCATCGGTGGGGTACACCCAGCATATTTTGTTTCAAAAACTGATTGCGAGCTGTCTCGTGAACCCAGAAGAGTCGCAAGCAAGAGAAAGAGCAGGTACATAGGTAACAGTGTTCCCTCTGAGCTGTGTTAGTGTGAGCCAGCTCACAGTTTTTTAGCCTCCGGCTCACACGTTTTTGTCTCCGCTCAGGAAGGATGGCCCCAGAGCAAACTAATTTATGCAGCAGCCAAATCACTCGCTCACAACTTTAATGCCAGTAGCTCACAGAGTAGAATTTTTGTTCACAAGACTCCACGGCTCAGAAGGGAGCATTGATAGGTAACAGAGTAATAAATGTTTGCGTGACCCGGAGAGGTGGGGAAGTCAGGTCCGAAGAGCCTGTGGGGGAAAGGGAATCCGCCGGGTGCCCCCGTATCTTAGTTTTAGGTTCTGGCCAATGGTGGAAGACCACTCGTGAACATAAACCAAGGACGCTGGCCAGTCAAAGCACAGCCACGGTGCCTCTTGTGATGGCGGCCATTTTGGGAGGAGCTAAATCTGTTAAAGATAGTTAGAATCATATAATCATAGAATTGGAAGGGATATCCAAGGTCATCTAGTCCAGCCCAATGCTCCCTCTTAGCTGTGGAGTCTTGTGAGCTACTGGCATTAAAGCTGTGAGCGAGTGACTTGGCTGCTGCATAAACTAGTTCGCTCTGGAGCCCTCCTTCCTGAGCGAAGACAAAAATGTGTGAGCCGGAGGCTAAAAAACTGTGGGCTAGCTCACACTCACTGGTCCAACCCAGGGCCGTAGCCAGGATTTTGTAATCCGGGGGGCCTTTAAATAAGTTGGGGGGCACTGATGTCATAAAATGCAAAATAAAATTAAAACAACATTTAAAAACTCATTTTTGCAGCATTCGCAGTCTGCTTGCCTACGCGGGGAAGCAAGCTGCGCTCGGTGAAGGGGCGGCGGTGGGGAGTCCTCAAGGTGGCCCAGAGAGTTGGGGGGCCTGGGTGGAAGTCAGGGGGGCTTGGATGGAAGTCAGGGGGTCAGGCCCCGAAATGCCCCACTGTAGCTACGGGCCTGGTCCAACCCCCTGCACAAGGCAGGAAATACACAAATACCTCCCCCCCACACACACACCAGTGACCGCTGTTCCACGCCCAGAAGATGACAAAAACCCTCCAGGATCCCCAGCCAAAGTGGCCTGGAGGAAAATGTCTTTCTGGCCCCAACATGGCGATCAGCATTTCCCTGGGCCTGTAAGAGAGGGCCACGAGAACTGAGGCACCCCTTCCTGCCCTCCCTCTCATGATCTGCCTGAGTTCACAGCATCCGCATTGCTGTCAGATGGCCAGTCCATCATTTCAGAGGGTAGCCATGTCGGGCTGCAGGTGAACAGCTAGCCTTGAGTCCAGTAGCGCCTTAGAAGAAGAAGATGAAGAAGAGATTGGATTTATACCCCGCCCTTCACTACCCAGAGGAGCCTCAGAGCGGCTTACAAACTCCTTTCCCTTCCCCTCCCCACAACAGACACCCTGTGAGGTAGGTGGGGCTGACAGAAACGGCTCTTTTTCAAGGACAGCTCTTGTCAGAACTAGGGCTTGCCCAAGGTCAGCCAGCCAGGTGCAAGTGGAGGAGTGGGGGAATCAAACCCGACTCTCCCGGATTAGAGTCTGCGCACTTCACCACGACACCAAACTGGCCTTAGAGACAAACAAGATTTTGGCAGCATAAGCTTTCAAGGGTCAACACTCTCCATGTCAGTATCTGACAAAGAGAGCTTTTACTCTCGACAGCTTACACCCCGGGAATACACCGGTCTCTAAGGTGCAACTGAGGGAACCGCCTTTCCCCATGTAGACCCCAGAGAGCACCATGGTCAGGGTCACAAAACCAATTGGCCCTCCCAGGCCCCAAAGACCCCAGGTTGGCGGTAACTAGGGCCAGGGCCTTCTCGGTGGTGGCTCCATACTGGTGGAACGAGCTCCCGGAAGAGATGAGGGCCCTGCGGGACCTTTGACGGTTCCGCAGGGCCTGCAAGACGGAGCTCTTCCACCAGGCTTTCGACTAGGAGCCGCCGCCACTATCGATAACGACTGAAAACTGTAGAGCCTGGTCCCCGGTCGGTTACTGACAGCCTGGGGAAGATCAATGAGCCGTATACTTAAAACGACTGATGGGATGCACTCATGTGGCAATGCCACTGACATGATACCAAATGCACTTTAATATCGTCTTGTTTTAATGAATTGTTTTTTAAATGTTTTATGGGAATTCTGATTGTTCTTATGTATTTTATCCTGCATAAGCCTCCCTGAGCCTGCTCCACTGGGGGAGGGCGGGGTATAAATCAAAATAATAATAAATAATAACTATTATTATTATTATTATTATTATTATTATTATTATTATTAT